ATTTATGAGAATGAAAGTATATATGTGATTTTTATGTGGATGTAGATGACACTCTGCTGGTACTTACAATGTGTTAATGAAGACCAAAGGTACGTTCGGAACAATGAGGCACAAGCTTGAGCAAGGTCACGCGGCCAACAATAGCCTTAAGATTGTTGTTAGGTTTCTATAGCCTATCAAGGAACAGTTCTCGATCATCGATTATGCTGACTTCTATCAAGTCTCTAACATTGACATACATATATTTGTCTTGGTTTGTTTGTGACATAAACATACATATATTCGTCTTGCAATAAATATCTTTATAAAGCCCTTTCTAAAACGAAATGAGAATAGCATAAATAATTCGAGGTCACTAACATACAATGTTGTTTTCCATGAATTGGCCAAGAAGCTCTCATGGCGTGAAATCCACAACATTGGAACAATTTAATTCTTATTAGTTTTTAATATATGTTTGAACTACATTTGGCACATATATTAATTAGGACCGTACAAAAACATAACTAATTAAGATCTTTTTTGAAATTCTCTCATAAAAAATGAATTTATTTCTCAAATTAGTACCTCCATGTGAGTTATCACATCTCAAAGTTTTGGTCTCAAGAGTCTAAGCATCGTCATGCATAGCCTCGAGCTTTCATATAAAACCACTGTCATTGACATATAGGGATGACAATGGCTGGGGCGGGGCCGGGGATCACACTCCCCGTCTCCGATCCTCGATGATGAAAATTTCCTTGTCCCCGGCCTCGATCCCCGACGGGAAACCTATCACTGTCCCGATCCCTGCCCCCTAACGGGGATCGAGTGTTCCTGATCCCAAAAATTCCTCGAACCCAAAAAAAAACAAAAAAATAACAGCAACAACATCATTATCAAACATCAACAACAACGTCATCAACATCACACATAGAGAGAGATCTAAGTAGAAAGAGAGATATAAGCAACAGCATCATCATCAAACAACATCATAAACATCACACACACAAAGAGAGATCTAAGAAGAGTGATCTGAGCACAGAGGGAGAGAAAGAGATCTGCCGTGGTGGAGAGGAGAAGAGGAGGAGGCGACGATCGCTGCGGTAGTGCGGAGAAGAAACGACGGTTGCTGGGAGATAAGAGAGAGTGATTCGGTGGTTCGGTACTCTCTCTCTCTCTCTGTGTGCTCTTTGCTCGCCTTTGTTCTCTCTCTCTCTCTCTTTGCTCTCTCTGCTACTCTGATCTTCTCCTCCTCGCTTTTGTTCTCTCTCTCTCTATCTCTCTCTCTCACTGATTCGATAGTATTTATCTCTATCTGCTCTTTTTGCTCACTGATTCGGAGGGTTAGATGTATATGTATGAATAGATATAGGGGGTATATATTGTCACGACCCGCTCCCCGTACCCAAGGATTAAGCATCGTGATGGCCAGTAACTAATGTTACCTCCGGCAAATTCTTAAACAAATTAATAAACGCGAGCGAAAATAATATTCAAGTAATGGTACCAAAATAATCATTTGAGCTTTTATTTTTATTACAAATTTATTGACTAAAAAGGCCGATATTTACATATAAAAATATCATAAAAATGTTGTGTGTATCTATTTTGCAGCCTCGCATCTAAGACTTTCCAAAAACTATTTATGAATTGCATTGTTTCTTGGAAATTATTAAACAGTGATAAGCACGTGACAGAGTGAGAAACATTATGCTAAGAGTATAAGGGATACAAAATAACCATTGATAGTTATGTACTAAAATATTTAAGATAATTTAGTCCGAACAAATAATCATTTAAGTAACAAAACTGAGATTATGTAAATAAATAACCATAACCACGGTGCCGAACTGAACAGAACAGAGGTCACAGGAGTGACAGTCAGAACAGAGGTACGGATTCAAGAGGTGGCTTGTACGAACTCTAGAGGTGGCTTCCACAACAATGTAACACTTAGCTCCGTATAGAACTTTACTCCACACCAGAAATCAGAGGGTCAATGGATTTATAACAATACGGAGGTACGGATTCAAGAGGTGGCTCGTACGGATTATAGAGGTGGCTCCCACAATAGTGTAGCGCTTATCTCTGCACAGAACAGAGGTCAATGGATCCATGACAAATAGAGGGCCACAAGGTGACCAAATAGAAGCCAATGGTTATTTAAGTCCCCTAAGGCGTGAGACTCCCGTAGTGGTACTTACAAAACATAAATGTTTATAAGGTCATAATCAAATATTCTTTAAAATATAAACAAACATATCAATGGGTTTCATTTTAACAAATAGAGTACATAAATTAATCCACGTAGCTGAAATCTTTATAAAACATAACTTATATTAATATAACTAATAAAATATAACTTGCATAAAATAAATTATGGTAAGTCAAAACATACGTAAAATATATTATGGTAACTCAAGGTATAATACAACTCACATTAACTTTAATACCTCATTATTTCTTTCCATTATCAAAAATCTTTCTAACTTTCATTGTTTTTTCTTCAGTTTTCTTCATTTCTTTCCATTGTCCTTCCTTTCTTTTTTTCACCCCAGCAAATTCTCTATTTTATAGAGAGAGAGCCGTGGCCACCAAGTCACCAAGTTGCCACGTGTCGCATTCTCATTAATATATCATTAATTCAAGTTTATCCCTAACCTAATAAGCTTAACTTAGTTATTTATTTATACTTTGACCCCTAAATTCTTAATAATTATATTATTTTACAAAATTACATATAATAATACAAAATAAATCGTATATTTTCCTAATTGTGATTAAATAATATTAGTATAAATTTTTTAGAATAATTAAAAATTTGGGTTGTTTGATATATGTAATTTCAGCTTGGGGAAAACGGCGCTGGGGCGGGGCTAAAAAACATATCACCGTCCCCGGTCCAAAAATTGTTGGGGATTAATTTTCGAATACCATTCTAATCGGGGTAGGGGGTTCAGGTCCTCGTCGGGCCGGGTTTAAGTTGCGATCTCTATTGACATGAAACAGTTGAGTTCTTGAATTTTGGATTTAAAGTTTTAGTGTTTGAGAAGTTGTATATATATTATGTATATGGACAAATGCAAATCACAATGAAGCCATATGCTCTGTTCCTTGAACTCTTCATTACTATTTCTTCAAATCCAAAGAAAATCCATATCTGAAAATTCAGAAAAAAATCTCTAAATTAGAATCCAGAGAATTTCTCTGGCCTCCCCATAAACAAATGGCAAACACAGTGAACCCAGATGCTTTGTTTCTTGAACTCTTCATTACTGTTTCTTGAAATCTAGAGAAAATCCAGAGAAATTTCTCTAAACTGAAATGCAGAGAATTTCTCTAGTCTTCTTAAAATTTCTCTGACCTTTTTAGAATTTCTCTAGAGATAAATTCTCTAGGAAATCCAGAGAAATTCTCTGGATATATGTATATTGGCTGTTGTTATTACTTATTTGGGTGATCGATTTGTGTATCGCATGTTGTAATTGGGAAACTAGGAAAATTTTATGGTGTTTCTTGAACTCTTCATTACTGTTTCTCGAAATCCAGAGAAAATCTTTGAAAATCTAAAGAAAATCTGTAGATTAGAATATAGAGAATTTTTCTGGCCTTCTTACGGATAAGTGCAAATCACAGTGAAGCCAGATACTCTATTATTTGAACTCTTCATTACTATTTCTTGAAATCCAGAGAAAATCTCTAGACTGGAATCCAGAGAATTTCTCTGATCTTCTTAGAATTTCTTTTCCTATAATTTATCTAGAAATAAATTCTTTGAGAAGTCCAGAGAAATTTTATTGATATATGTATATTGGTTGTTGTTATTGCTTATTTGGGTGATTGATTTGTGTATTGCACATCGTGATTTTGAATGGAAAATTTTCTTTGGTTTGGAACTTTCTATAATGCTGTTGATGCTGCACTTTCTTATGTTAAGGTGCAAGAGTCTTGTATGGTTTTGATGCTATATTGAATTTTCCTACCTACAAAACTGACTTGATCACTAAAAGTATAACAATGTTGGGTAATTTGTTAGCAGTCCAGTGCTAGGGGTTTATATGAAGTTTGTTCAAAGTGAGTCATTGATTTCAGCAACAATTTTGATTTTTGACGAATCACTGTAACAAACAAGAGTTATAGTATTGGTGCAGCACAATTTTTTTATGTGTTGAAATCGCTTTGTGTTGGCTTTTTAATCAATTTTCTCTGATTGAGTCAAAACACGATTTTCTCTAGTTTGATCAAAACACAGAGAAAATTACAAATAAACCAAAGAATTTGAGAAAGATGAGGAATGAAGTTAGAAGAAAAGAGATAACTGCCACTTAATACTCTCATGTGTGTAATTTTTTCTGGCATGTTTAATTTTCTCTACCTTGTTTAATTTTCTTTGCGATGTTCAATTTTCTATGGATTTCCCTAATTTGAACTTAAACAAATTTCAATTTTCTTTGATTTGAACCTAAAGAAAATTTTTGGGAGGTCCAAAATTTATTTGGAGAGAATTTATCTAGGAAGAATTTATCTAGAGAGAATTTCTCTGAGAAGTCCAGAGAAATTCTCTGAATTGAAATTTTTCTGAATCGATTTTGAGGGACCTTAGACATTATAAAAATATTGAATATTCTTTATATTATAAAATCTTAACACCAGAGATCTAAAAAAAAATCTCATTATTTTTATTTATTTCAATGTCTATCCACATTACTATTAGTTTTGATTTCTTTAACCATATTAAAGAGATATTAGTGTAATTATATAAAAATATATGAAATTAATTACAATTTCAAGGGGGTGAATGTAATTTATCATAAAGTTAATAGCAACATCAAGGGTCGAACAATAATTTTGCGACAAACGCACTATTCTTATTTCATGTATCAGTGGAAGAAGCAGGGGTTCTCAGTTTCAAAACCCTAGTTTCAGTTGAGTTGAGTTGTAAATGGATCCATATTACGAACAGAGATTAAGAGACGAGGTCCTCTACCTTCACTCTCTCTGGCACCTAGGTCCCCCCACAAACCCTAACCCTAACCCTAATCTCACCCACCACCAAAACCCATCAACCCACCTCCATCTCTCCAACCCCACACAGTTCAAGAAAGACAAAAAGAAGAAGAAGAAGAAGCACAAGAGAGGCAAAAAGGGCAAATCCGACCCACCCTGGATCTCCGACATCGAATGGCCCTGCAAAACGCCCTCCGAGATCCCCTCTTCGTCGGGTTGGCCCGTCCTCAACCTCCAATTGGGTCGGATCATCCGTTTGCCATCGGCCGAAGAACAAGACCGATTCGCAGCGACTCAAGCCCAGCAAAAGGCCTTGAAGGCATCGCAAGAGTTCTTCGCCGCCGCGAAGGACAGTGATGGAGAAGAAGACGATGATAGTGATGATGATGATTTGATGGACGAAGATGGGAACGAGGAGTACAGTTTTTTCATGAAGATGTTCACAGAGGACGGTGAATTGAGGGGGTTTTATGAGAAGAATTGTGAGGGTGGTGATTTTAGTTGCTTGGTGTGTGAAGGAATTGGGAAGAAGATTGGGAAGAGGTTTAAGGGTTGTGTTGCCCTAGTTCAACATTCGGTTTCGATCGCAAAGACGAAGAAGAAACAAGCACACAGAGCTTTAGCTCAGGTTATATGTAAAGTTCTTGGTTGGAATATTGACAGGCTTCCAACTATTGTTTTGTCATTGGGCGATCCGCTCAGTCGATCTTTGGCTAAATCTGGGGAGTCTCAGGTAAATAGCAATTCGTGTGTATTAATTTTGCTCATAATCATATTTGAATTTCGTTTATCAGCTTAAATTGTAATATTACAGGGCAATGCTGAGGATTTGCATATGCTTAACCAGAATTCAGGTTCGGTAAATGTTAATAATGGTGAACTGATTGTGAAGGAGGTCTCTAATGTTGGTCAGGAGGGAGAGTTACACAATTCTAGTGTTCCTGGAATTTCGAATGTTGATGGTGATAATGTGATGCTTTGCGAGGTTGGTTAGCTATTTTCATGACTTTTAGTAGGAGTGGACATTGTGTCATGTTGATCATGTTCACGTCGCATCATATCAGGTTGTGTCAGAATTTTTTCAACACTAATCTTAACTTGTTAATTTTTTCATGTTATTGTATTGTATCATGTTGTGATCGTGTCGGGTTAACATGTCATGTTAGAAAAAAAATGACCCTTGGTTAAAGATGTGAGGTGTATGTATTAAGCATTAAAATTTGTTTTCTCCACAAGTTATTCATGGGCTAATCTCTAGTAGATCAAATTATTCATAAAATAATTAATTTCAACTTAATTCTATTTCTCTAATTTCTAAAAACTAAATCCTATTATTTATTTATATATTATTTACTAGATTGACCCCAAATTATTAATATTACAGGGCAATGCTGAGATTGGAATGGAGGATTTGCATATGCTTAACCAAAATTCGAGTGTGGAGAATGTTAATAATGGTGAACTGGTTGTGAAGGAGGTCTCTAATGTCGGTCATGAGGGAGTTTTGCACAATTCTAGTTTTCCTGGAATGTCAAGTGTTAATGGTGATAATGTGATGCTTTATGAGGTTAGTTAACTATTTTCATGACTTTTAGCAGTAGATATGTAGTTTTGGGTTTGTGATATTTTAATTTTAAACAGTGAATTGGATTAATTGTATCTCTTCTTATTGTGCATTGCAGAGTTCTTTGAAGGTTGGTGATGCCAATGAATGTACGGAAAATCTTGAGAATGGGGATTCTAGTGTAGTGGATGGGAAGACAGAGGGAGTGGTTAATGGTCTGGTGAGATGTCTGTCCTCAATGTATTTTATTTTATTTTTCCTTCTTTGGTTGTTTTCAATTGTTTAGAATAAGAGTACTTATCAAGAAAAAATAAGAAAGAAATTAGGATACTAGTCTTATAACACCTTTTATAACTTGCTAATATTTCATTCCATAACAATAAACAATTGCTTGATTAACCAAACAGGTTCCAAAGTGGTAATTGATGGCTGTACCTATTATCTAATTTATCTTATATGTTTCTGATGAAAGATTTGCTTATGCTAGTCAGTGCAATCATGTATAAATGTAATTACATGAAGAAGATTGCCTAACTTGGTTATGTTATGTCTTTGGAAAATGATAACTCTTGACCACTGTTGTTAGAATCACGAGATTCACAATTTGATACAAGCTTCAACAAACTCAATTTGAATTGTGTTGTCGCATCGGAAATTGCTGTAAAACATGCAGTTTCATTTTGTGATTTACTTTGTTTGCATAATATACATGAAATGGCGGCATTTTCGCCTATATCTCAAGGAAAAAGAAGGAAAGAAAGAGAAATTGATTTGTTATATTAATTTATGTGGCTTTATATGTATATATAATTTAGTTATTTTGATCTTTATTTCATTTAAAACACTATATGCGTATTTTTTTTTTATACATATATATGTTTGTAAAATAATATATTATATTAAATAAAGTGAAACTTATGATTCACAATTCATGATTTGACAACAATGCTCCTGACATATGTTTATGACTCTCTTCTTTTTGGGAAGAGAAGATAAAAAGTGAAATTGTGTACTGGGGGACATTTTTATACTGATGAAAGTTGGGAGAAATTTTAATGTATGTTGTATATGATTAATAAGTTTTCTCACAGGTGGTTACTGGCTATTAGGTGGTTGACATTTTGTTTTTTACCATAACTAACAACATATGCAGTGCAGGAACCTTTCAAGGACAATGGTACTGGAAACAACATGAAAAACAATCAGACACAGATTGTAGCTAATGATCTGAAGGATAACAACGGGGATGAGAATTGACGAGGAAGTTGTAGAGGTAGTGGCAATAAATATTTAGGGAAAACAATGGATTGCTTGGTGAGATTATTCTTGTTATTCACAGATCATTGATTGACCATTGTTTTAGATCTTCACTCATTCAATGTGCACCATTTGGTGCTTGTGGTTTCTTATGTCATGTAATTTGTAGGTGCATTTGAAGCTAGATGATCTTTCTTTGAACATCTTTGCAAGTACTGTTCACAGCAGGCAGCGTGGAATTAGATACGTACAGTAAGATAACTACTAATGTTTGGTAGGTACAATAAGTGTTAGATATACTAGTATTAAGATTATTATGTTGAGGCCATTGTCTGATGCATTGCTCACAAACCTCCGATGAGGGGATGATTTATATTATAAAACCGCATCAACCTTGCAAATTTTCCTCAGGAAAAAGATTGCATATATTAGTTGTTTATTTATGCAAGTTAAATACTTGTTCCAATTTTTTTTTGTTGTACATTCCAAATCCAACTGGTTGATTCATGGTATGAAGTTTGATTAGAAGATAGCTTGGTTGGTTGGGCAGAGTTTTTGCAATTGAGTTGTTGCGATTACTGGTAAAAAAATTCATCCTGGACCAAGCAAGGAGCCTCATAGGCCAACTACTGTTTTCTCAGTATGTGTTATCGGCATCTCCAAAGATATTTTGCTCACAATTGGAAGTGTTGCCTACATTCGAGTCTATCACACATGTTATAGTGCTCATGAATTTTCACTTGTGTCACAACTGTGTCACTACTCTATGGCCTAGTTTGGGAAGACTAAATAAGTGTACTTTTTAACTTTTTATGAAATATGGGTTGAGTTTGAGTTGGGTTTGAAGTGATGTGTTAGAGAGGTGATGTGACTTAAATAAGATGATGTGACTTAAATAAGATAGTGACTTTTTGACTTTTTATCTTTTTTCAGTTATGCCAAACTTGACCTATATGTTGTGATAAGAAAATTGGAAGTGTTGCCTACATTCGAGTCTATCACACGTTATAGTGCTCATGAATTTTCACTTGTGTCACAACTGTGTCACTACTCTATGGCCTAGTTTGGGAAGACTAAATAAGTGTACTTTTTAACTTTTTATGAAATATGGGTTGAGTTTGAGTTGGGTTTGAAGTGATGTGTTAGAGAGGTGATGTGACTTAAATAAGATGATGTGACTTAAATAAGATAGTGACTTTTTGACTTTTTATCTTTTTTCAGTTATGCCAAACTTGACCTATATGTTGTGTAACAATGCACTAACATCGGCCCCCAAGCTCAGATTGGGTCTTTATTGTGCAGTGAAGATCACTTGTGTGCCTGCAACACTCCAAATTCAACTAATTTTTTTATTTTTTATTAAAGAACTTGTAGTTCTTTCCTTTTTCTATGTAATCCTCAATTACATGGACAACTTCTGAACTTTCTTTTAGTGTCATTTCTCATTTCTCCATTATTCAACATAGGAGAAGGAAATAGTTTTCAAAATAAATGGACGACTTCTGAACTAGCAAACTTGAGGTCAAGTCCCTTTTTATATGTGGTTCTTATCAAATTTGTTTATAAAAAGAAGAAAAGAAAAAAGAAAAAAAAAGCAGCAGCCAAATTTGGTCTATATTCAAAAGAAAGTGGAATTTTAAAAAATAGGAAAAGCAAAATGCCCTTTTTCTAATAATTTTAAAAAGTGAACTCAGTGTAAGTGGGGCTGGTGGCTATTGGAATGTATGTTTTTAAGAAAAAGTGTTAGACCCCACCTCCCTCACTGTTTTTTTATTGGTGTAAAATTTTTTTTTTAATTTTTTTAATATATGTTTGCTCTCACAACCCTCCATGTGGAGGTGATGGTGCTGGGGTCACCCTCCACTGGGGATCCCAGCAGTGCTCATGTTTTTAATATAAAAATATGCATATATATAAGCCTTTCTTTTTTTGTTTATTTATTTGGTTAGGCTAATAATACTCTACTGTCGTTGGTGTATATATAATGTCAAAATAATCAAAATCTCAATACATTTTTAATATATTTTTTATACATTTTTTCTATTTGGTAAAAGCTAAAAATGTTAATTTATTCATTTAATTTTTAGTGATTTTTTTTTAAAAAAAAATTTGTGTCAAAAGTTTATATTTTCATATTCTTTTAGTTTAGAAGGATCTAAAAAAAGAAAAATACAAAAACTGCACCCAAAAAAAAAAAAAACAACTGAAAAACTAAAAACAAAACAAATTAATTTTCATTTTTTATCTGTATTTTTTTTGTCTTCTAATCAAGTAGGACATGAAATTTGAAAGAAATTGCTAAAATGTGGAACCAACCCATACCATAGACACAGACAGTATAAGTTAACCTTGTACCACACGGTAACTCGGGTGTACCCACCCAGCTACCCTATATTTTGCCGCTGGCTTTGGGATAGCACAAACTCTGCGTCCAAACACTACCCAAACCCCTCTCTATATATTGAACCTATCCATTGATGAATCGCGCAAGGGTTTTTAGATATCTAAGAGAGAGAAGCGATTAGATTTTCGATATATACGAATCTAGAGAGAGAGAAGCATTCAAGAATGTCAGGAGTTGGTCCGATCGCACAAGACTGGGAGCCGGTGGTGATCCGCAAAAAGGCTCCGACCGCGGCCGCACGGAAGGATGAGAAAGCCGTCAACGCCGCTCGCCGCGCCGGCGCTGACATCGAAACTATCAAGAAATGTTCGTCTCTCTTTCTCTCTCTACTTTTTCTGTCAATTAGGGTTTCTGATTCATTTGCTTCCTCCTTAAATCGATTTGTCTTTGATATATTTTCTCTCTATATGCATAGATTAGTTGTGTGTATCGAGTTGTTTCGATTGTTTATGCTACGCTGTGAATTGATGCATATCGTGAAGAGGAATTGATAGATTGAATTTTCTATGTCCTACGGCTGCTCTGTTTTTGGTTTCTTAGCTTTTTGTATGAGAAATGATCAGATATTTGCTTTAAAGCCTGGATTTCCTTGGAATATGTTAGTTCGTGATTAACATGTGAAGCTCTAGCAATTTTAATGCTTATTTAAGATACAATTTTTTACTTTTTAGTTTTGCACTATTGGACTGTCTAAAAATCAATTGCAACTGATACTATTTTGATGTTCATCTTATTCTTCTGAATTAAGTGCCAAGAGTCAACAGCATATTATATTAATTAATTAACGCATTACTTGTTATTGCCTGTTTTGTATTTACAGTATGATGAGGGTTGTGTATTTGTTAGTTATTTGAACTGAACTACCGGTGCTTATTCATACTTTCTCTTACAGCAAACGCGGGCTCAAACAAAGCTGCCTCGAGCAGCACTACTTTGAACACTAGGAAGCTCGACGAAGAGACAGAGAATCTTTCTCGTGAGTATATTTTAAATTCGAGTGTGCGCGTGCGTATACATATGACTCATTTACTTCCCTTAAATTCCATGTACATTTTCTGAATGAATTTTACAATTCATTTAAACTTTTTCCACATGGAGATGATATATGTGTTGCTAACTTTCTTTGGTGATGCGAGTCATGTGGCCTTGTTTATTTAGAATTTTTTTTAGCACTGCATATACATTTTGTATAGAATAATTTACACAACTCTAAATTGCTTAGGTGTCACACTACTAGCACCACCTTGATGCAAATGAATTATGCATTTCTGTGCCTCGTCTTTGGTGAGGTGAATTTGTTCATCTAGATAATTTTTTTTAAACGACTTTGCACGAGTCAAAAGAACAAGATTGAAAAGATCCGAATTTGACATACTTCGGGGGAAAGGCCACTCGCTGGTAATATTTTGTAATGTGAAGTTGTTTCTTGTGGCTACATGTTCAGGAATTATATTTTTATACACCTTGAAGTGGAGTATCATCTTCCATGTCATGCTGCATCCATATTTTTTATTGGGAGTGAGATAAGGTGGGATCCATAAGATTCGGCTGCCAAACTCTTGTTGCAGTGGCATTGTTCATGTGCACGGAAAGGGTAGAAAGAGCACTGCAGTTTTGCTCCCTCCCACTGCATTTTTTATTCCTCTCCACTTTAACTATAGCAGAACGGAACTTGGTTTCAATGTTCAATGTCAATACTACCAGCTCACCCCTTTGCCTTCTCAGTTGTAGGATGCTCAAATTCCACCAACTTAGTCTCGTTTGGAAACCCTCATTTTTAGTCAAAAAGTTACTAAATTAGCCAAAAAGTCAACAATCCATATCAAAAAGTCAAAATTTTCTTTTCTCTCTACTTTTTGCACATCTTTTCGTAAAAAGTCAAAAAGTCATCCCAAACATGTTAGTTTTTTTTAACTCATATTTTAGCTAAAAAGTCAAAAAATTACTAAATTAGCCTATTTCCAAACGAGGCTAGTGTTGTTTTGTGTGAGTGCTGTCCTAAGTGGATACTGAGAAGGGGAAAGAACAAGAAGTGTTGATTGAAGATTTTCGTAATTCAGTTGTTGGGTGGAATAAATTTCTCTGATCATTCAATATTTAGCATGGGAGACGAAAGTTGTATGGACATATACCATCCTCTTTCGCTCTTTTCTTTCAGTTTTATGAATTGAAAGTACTCAGCTCAACAAAAAAAAGATCGCTTCTCCAACTTTTAGGACACAAACATCTTGGGATGCTTCTCCTGTACCGCTATCTTCCTGTAGTACTAGCTGGATTCTTTTGCACATTCTTTCTGTTGAGGTGAATTGATGAATTCCCAATATCACAAAAGAAAAGTAAAGCACAACGTTACTTTTTTGTTTCTTCAAATCTCTTGCATTTGCTGTATCTTATTAAAAAACCTGAATATGTTTTGCCATGGCATTCTATTTATCCTAGCATTGTGCCCTAACACTTGCCTGTACTCTGAACTTGTGCAGATGATAAGGTGCCAACTGAACTGAAGAAAGCCATCATGCAAGCTAGGATGGATAAGAAACTCACTCAGTCTCAACTTGCTCAAGTCTCTCTCTCTCTCTCTCTCTCTCTGTTTGTGTGTGTGTGTGTCATGCATAAACACAGATCCTGACTGGCTATTTTTGTTCTCTGCAGCTGATTAATGAGAAACCACAAGTGATACAGGAGTATGAATCTGGAAAAGCCATTCCAAATCAACAGATAATCTCAAAATTGGAGAGGGCTCTCGGTGCAAAGCTGCGAGGAAAGAAGTAAAAGAAGCTGCATGGAAGTTAACTTTGGGCTCTTTCAGCCTCTCTTTTTAGTCTTAGTACTTGGTGTTAGTAAATGTAACCTTTTTCTTTTAAAACCGATTGCCATGGCTCATCTGTAAGAAACTCTGGCTGATGAATGGTAAAACCTTTATTCTGTTTTCTAAGAATGGTAAAACTTGACTTAAATGTGATGCAATGTAGATCTTAGAACAATACATACATTTTACAGGCATTCACTCTGATATGCATTTAAATAACAAACGTCCAATACACTTTCAAGCAAGATTGTTTGCAAATGAACTCGGATAAAGTCAAGTAAATATCATACTAAAGCAATATACATGTACATCACCTGCTTCCTCCAACCAGACTACAGCTGTCCAAAGAAAAGAGGTGGCAATTGAAAACACAGGGTGTAACTATTCGCAGGCGAGTTTTGTACCAAAGCTGGTGAGGCAAATGGCAAATGCCTGAAATGCGGATAAGGGCTGCCTATAATCCATCGTGAAAGTATCGTCTCCTACTTTACCGAATTGGAGGAGAACTGTTTCCTCATCGCCTTTTCCTCCTGGCTGGCTCTGATCTATTGTTGCAACCAGTTGAAAGTTCTTCACAGATGCAACTGTCACCCGGCCATGGAAATTCAAGCACCAGCACTGCAAGTGTTCGTGCCATCTCGGAGCTTTGTTTCTCAGAACAGTGAAGCTGGGGGTAGCAGACTCTGGCTTTTTTGTATCAGAATTGTCCTGAGGTTTGTTTGCTTCGGTTTCTCCTGAGCACGGGCATTTAAGCGAACATAGCATCCTCCTTGGACCTCTTGATTTCAAGAGGTTGAACTTGTAGGAGACCTGTCCAACCTCAAAGTTGCCTGCAGGAACCTGGGGACTTATTTGCTTGCTTGCAAAACGGCGGCAACTTCTGCTGCTAGAGGGCTTTGCACCACTGTGTGGGGGTTGGCTATCATAGATTGTAAAGTTGGTACCGAGAAAATCGGAACTGCAAAGCACAGGATTGTGTATTAGAAATACTAGCAGAAGCACAAGGGTAGAAAGAAACATTCACTGCGCAAATAGAAATGGAAAAAGTATCGATCACGATGGAAAGAGTACTGAGTATTCATATTCTTGTTTCATATCTAACAGATGGGTGCCTATATCATTTAGAGTACTGAGTATTCATATTCTTGTTTCATATCTAACAGATGGGTGCCTATATCATTTAGATGATGAAAACCATCAAACCAAATGTGCTTCGGCTGAGGACATGACTCGACCCTATTTTTAGCCAAATTAAGACATACCTTACCATTACTTCATTTGCTATTTTTAGCACTTAAAAAGTTTAAGAGCTGACTTGGGGGTTGTTTAGGATGTTCTAAATAAGTGCATTTTTTGACTTTTTATGAAATATAGATTGAGTTTAAAGTGATGTGGTAGAGAGGTGATGTGACTTAAATAAGATGATATGATTTAAATAGGATAGTGACTTTTTGACTTTTTAAATTTTTTATGAGATGCCAAACTTAGCCTTAATTGTATTAATAAACTCCTCAGATGACATAATTGCCATCTGACACTGCCATTAAGTGAAGAAACAAATTTGACGCCAAAAATATCCCCAACAAAAATAAACATAATGCTTAAGGATTTAACAATTTGGCATCCACTACAGTTTAGCTTCATGTATCTCAAACATGTGATCACCAATAGAGAAAAACGATCCTGATGGTTGTACCATCCACTAATGTAATTATTATTGTCAACTAACATTGTATTTTCACAATGTTAAATAGTAGGAACTACGTAAATAAAACATTGGAACAATTAAGATTATTGTGATGTATTCTTCATGTTCAATATTGTCTCTCATAAAAGACAGCAAAACATTGGAACAATGAAGATTCTTGAGATATATTCCTTATGTTCAATATTGTTTCTCATAAAAGACGGCAAAGGGCAACGAAACCAAACGAATCAGTAAAGCGTCAGCATATGCAAATGCTGAAAAAAAAAAATTTGCATTCTAATATGGGGAAAAAAAAAAAAAAAATTCACATCCTGAGCACCCACTAGGTTATTTCGGTTTAGCCTAAAATTTTATGTATGTATACAATTAATTAAAATCTAAAATTTAATCACAGAGAATAAGAGACATGCTTTTCAAAATTTCACACAAGAAATTTATAGAGAGAGGTTTTAGACTCAAAGAAAATACAAGATTAGCTGTATTCAAACAAAAGAAAGTAGACAACGGCTCACCATCAACAAATTTTCTTCCACTTTTATTTATTTAGTTTTTCCATGGGGATGCCTTACCTTAGCTTTCCAACATAGGCATTGCTTCCTTGGGACATGTCATCTGCATCAAGTGATATAACGTACTCAGTATGAGCACCATGTCTATATCTTCGTGCTGCTAGGAGAAACTTTCCCATGTCTGTAAAGGCTGCAAAAATGAAAAGACAAAATTTAGGAATTCAAATCACAGAAGATATTTAGAACAAAACACAAAGGAAAACCACAAGAAGACGTATGTCAAATAAAAAAAATAAAAAATAAATAAATAAAAAAATAATAATAATTTAGTGGGGAGTTTCAGATGGTCAAAGAACCTAATATTCTAAACCTTATTTGGTTATTCCTTTTGATGCGGGCGCGCACACACACACAACTATTAGGCAAACAATCTTTTTGCTTGTCAAAAAGATATATTTATCAGCATTAATAAATGCACCTCGGTGTATATACCTTAATGGAAGGCAAACTGTCAGCATGTCAGAGGCAGCTAATGCCATTTGGAATCTTCAAACTAGTTGGCATCCACCCAAAAGATCATATTAATAAAATTACTACAGAAAGAAGATAAGAATAATCTGCAGGCAACTGGTGGTCCAAATCTATTGGTATGCACATACACAATAGCAGCAAATTGTTTTACTCATATGGAGTCTGCTTTTGTGGCAGTTAAGCAATATCCTACATTACGAGAGCACATTGATGAGCACTAATAAACTGTACAAAAGGGACAAGATGTAAAAATTCCCTTGGCCAGAAATTTGTGCTTGGCCCAAAATAATGGAGCATAATTTGCTGATTTGATTTCACATTTTTCTTCAAGAATGAGGAAAGTCAAGCTTATTTTTCCTTCAAGACTCGATTGCCTCTTTTGGGAACCTAACTTCAACATCATTTTGCAAATGGATTTGCCTGATCTAGATGAATTTTTAAAGTGTTCAATTTTTCTTTGTCAGTATCCTATGGAGAAATATAGGTATCTCAGTAATTTCATGAGTCTGATACTGGTACTTATTACTTGGAGCTTATACAAGTAATTAATGTTTAAAGTAAGAATGCACCATATTTTATACCATGTACATGGCCTATAACACACATCAAATACAGCACTAGACTGATAGAACCAAACCAATTTTAAAAGAAGCGTTCATTGATAACCAAACAAAAATGCACTCCAAGTGTGTGAAATCTTGTAAAAAATTTGAAATGTCACACAACATTCAACAAATCCTAATTTTAGAAACTTGAATATGCAATATCATCTACCATACGCCATTCACAGACAACTCTTAAATATCTGCCTTGCATATAAAATGCAGACAATAGATGCAATTACTGTGTAACATTGCTAAATTCACTTCTAGGATGCTAATAATGCTTAAAGAAAGTATACACGATCCGATCCTATAAACACTTCCAACGATCCAACGTAGGATCCCGATTTTAACAACCTTGCTTCTAGGATGCTAATAATGCTTAAAGAAAGTATACATGAATATGAAAGCAGCCAAAACAAGCATATATCCTAGTCAACATTCTCATGTAAAACGACATTTGATAGGTAATGATCTTATGTAAGACTTGTAAATTATTTTTTTGCATATGAAGTCTGTCCATAGCCGACCCCGTTTGATGGGACTTAAAGCTTTTTTTGGTTTAGTATGAAGTCTGTCCGTAGATGGTCAAATTTCAGAAACTTGACTAAGCAACCACCTATGGTTATTTCCTAAGCAAAATTAAGATAGTGACATAGGAAGATTGAAAAAGTGGTGAATGTCCCTCTTAACTAGAGTCTTTATTCACTATACATCATGAACCAGGTCAATAACTTCAACTACAGAACAACCAAATTTGAAACTCCGAAAGCGCTTTAATGTAGAACAGTGTCACATCCCAAAAAACATTTAAATTGATCTACTTACATGGGTTAAGACCAAGATACAGGTAAAATGTTGAGTTCTTCTTGTTCCGTCTTATAAGACACTGAAGAGGAGAGTCCCGGGGACCCGGCTGCACAAAAAAAAAAAATAGTTAGACCATCAAGCCCAAACACTAAAACCTTCTCCAACCACCAACAATAATGATAATTGTCAAAATATCTGTGGAGGTTTTAAGATGTCAAACAAACAGCCAAGAAACACCCATTCAATGAAATTTCCATCTTCCCTTGGATGGTACAATGTCAACCGCAAAACAACCTCACGAATGCAATACAATGGCGGAGGGGGGAATGAAGGAACTTCTTGGACTTAATCATTTGCTACCAGAGAATTCAAATTTCGTAACTTTCCCCTAGTTATCACAATAAACCAGCATACTCCAGTTTAATATAATGATCATAGTCAGTGTATGTGACCGTCTCTACCAAGGTTCTGAAAAGCAGTTGCGGTCGCCGTAACGGTGGCGGTAGTGCGGTTGCGGTTGCGGTTGCGGTTGCAAGGTGTAACGGCCGTAGCGTAACGGTTGTGACAACCGGAACCATGAATTTTTTTATTTTCGCATGATTTGAAAAAAACTTACCGATACGCATATTTTTTTTCAATAATCATATTTATTGGGTTACAAAATAAATATTGATTAATTTTTCTAAATTTTTAAGTATGATCCAATATACTTCATATTTTTAAATCACTAAAAACTGAGTTTTTTTACATTTTATTTTAATAATTAATGACTTTATATGTCATAAATTCATACGCTTATGGCAAAAAAATTTTTTTTATTGGACTTAGATGTATAAAATTATTTTTTAATTATTATACTTGTGGAAGCATATGTAAATTTTAACTTGAATAGTTTTAAAAAAATAAATTATACATGCTAATATAATCATATAAAAATTAAAAAATAAATTATAAAGAATTTTTTATATATTTTTTGAATTTGGATCACTTGAATATTCATTCTTTTTTTGGATAACCTGTATTGTAAATAAAAATAAAATAAACTAATAAAAAAAAATTGACATGTATAAAATATGTATTAATATATAATTATAGGTGTTTTATTTTAATAATTAATAACACTATATTATACAAAAAAACAATCACTAACTATTATACATAAGATAAACAATGACAAAAGAAAGAGAATAAATAAGAGACTAAATATATATATATATATATTTATTTAATTATGCCAAATAGATAATGACCACATTTATTATTATTTTCAAACAATATATAGATAGATAGACACATACAAACAAAATGGTTAAGTGAGAGCAGCTAACTAGAATAGCATAGGTCTTATAATTTCAATAAATCAATAACATGTTTTTCATCTTCCCTCTTCTTTCTCTATCTCTTACCCCTCCATCTTCCCTCTTCTCTCTCTATCCCTCTTCTACCATTTTCAACTTTTTTTTTTTGTGTTTTTTTGAAAAAAATAGTTCAGAACCGTTATGTAACGGTACGTAACAGACCGTTACGGCCGTTATGATAGTCGCTACGGCCGATACATCTGTAAATCTCAATTACATTGCAAAAGCAGCCGTAATGGGTGGCAGTAACCATCACAACCGTTACGTAATGGCGTTACGTAACAGTTACGGCCGCTTTTTAAAACCTTAGTTAAAACCTTGGTCTCTACCCATGTAGCAGCCATATCACATCCACAACATCATCTCCATGTACTTGGAAATTGGATCTCATATGTCAATTTCATGAGGTGACACTTGGACCAAAGAGATATCACTCGATTCACCACATATCTTAGGTTTTACCTCCCACGTTGAACCTTTTTGGTCATAGCTAATATACATGCCAACTTAGCCTCAAGCCTATGCCCTCGTGGATAATCCCCAAAAGGCTCTCTCAACTCAATCAAGTGGTCCACCATTACAGAGAATTCCTCTACCTTACAGTTCTTTATCTTCAATGGAACCCCAACGTTCTTGCGTTAATCTAGGTTGGGAGCAACGCCTAGGAATCCCTTGAGGTTGATACTGTGGTCAAGGGGCACTGACCTAGTGACCTTTGTGCTAGATCTTTGAGGTCATGTGTCTTGATTGCTAAAAAATTCAAATTAAATAATTTTTTTAAAATTTTTATTTTTTATTTTTATAGCAACAAAGGGTGAGGAGCGAATATTTCGATCCGCCCAGATTGACCAAACCGATCCGATCCGTCGTATTTTGGACGGATGACAGATTTGAAATTCATTTGGCCGCAACCGAACCGCCAAACTACAAGCAACCTAATAATTTGTAAGACCTTATGTTTTCAATTTTTTTAGATATTATGTTTATATTCTCAATTGAAAAATAATTTAAATATTCTGTTGCGTTTTCAATTTGAAAATACTTTTATCAAATGGAAAGGGTTAATATTTGGTATTTTTGTATGGAAAATAAAATGTTTAATTTTGTCATTTAAAAAAAAATCAAATTAAATAATTTTTTAATAAAAAAATAAAAAAATAATTTTGATAATACATGATACTTTTTTTTTTTTATATGTATTTTGATTGCTAAAAAATTCAAATTAAATAATTTTTTTAAAATTTTTATTTTTTAATTTTATAGCAACGAAGGGTGAGGAGTGAATATTCCGATCCGCCCAGATTGACCAAACCGATCCGATCCGTCGTATTTTGGACGGATGACAGATTTGAGATTCATTTGGCCGCAACCGAACCGCCAAACTGCAAGCAACCTAATAATTTGTAAGACTTTATGTTTTCAATTTTTTTAGATATTATGTTTATATTCTCAATTGAAAAATAATTTAAATATTCTGTTGTGTTTTCAATTTGAAAATACTTTAATCAAATGGAAAAGGTTAATATTTGATATTTTTGTATGGAAAATAGAATGTTTAATTTTGTCATTTTAAAAAAAATCAAATTAAATAGTTTTTTAATAAAAAAATAAAAAAATAATTTTGATAATACATGGTATTTTTTTTTTATATGTATTTATTATTGATATTTGACATGATAATCTTTTAATTATGTTGAGCTGAATTATTATGTTTAAAACTTATAAAAGTTTGAACCACCAAACGGTTCCGACAATCCACCAATCTACTTAATCCGTATCCATCAATTCGGCGGATGGATGCAAATTGATTTATTTCAATCCGCCCATCCAGCATACGGACGGCAGATTAGAGATTCCCTGCCGGCATCCAAACCGCTAACACCCCTAATAGCAACATTAGAAAATTTGAAGTTCCAATTACTGCTAAAAATTCAAATGTGTTGTTGAGCAATTAAAAAAATAAAAATAAAAATCAGATCAATAAGATCAATCAAAACCTTGATTAGACAAAATTCCCTAAAACTTCAAATTAGAAAAATCACAAAAAATTATCAATAAAAGATCAGACCTGTTTGAGGCAAGAAGGGAAGGTGATCTGGCCACTGCGAAACGGAGACCTAACGATCTCTCTGGTGACTCCTCTCCACCTCTTGCACACACAAGCGCAAGCGACGACGTTTTGTCGGATCGGCCACCGATCTTCGCTCGCTTCGACTCTCCGTATGATCTCTCCGAGTAGCTCCGGCAGCATATTCGACCAAGAGCCCTCCAATTCGGCCTCAACATCGTCGTCTCTACCATTACTCCTCAAATTCGCTTCAGCCTGTGCAGTGTCTAGGGTTTTGAATTCTTTGAACGATTTGGATAGCGCAAAGGAGCGACTGTTGATCCTTCGCGAGAGAAATGATCTTCTGAGTGACATGTTATCTGTAGCGTCTCATCTAGAGAGAGAGAGAGAGAGAGAGAGAGAGAGGAGCAAGTGAGAGGAAACCAGAGAAAATTGATAGTGTCACTGGCTTGTCTGAGATTTTTTGCTCATCTTGACTTGTCGAGATTTTCGTAACAAGTTGACGGGTAGATTACATTTTGATCATTTTATGTCCTGTTTGGTGGGGTTGTGGGAAAATACTTATAATTTATGTTTAAATAGCTTATAGTTTATAATTATGAATACAAATTAATTTCTGATTTATAAATTAAAAATCTCCTGTCTCATTCAAAGAATAAGTTGATTTCTGACTTCTAAAAAGTTATAAGTTATATGCTATATGCTAAACTAAATACATCAAAATAGTTTAAATTAAACTGAAAGTTAAAATAAGCAGCTTTTAAGCTGCACCAAATAGGGCCTATGTTAGGTTATTTGCTCAGTTTAGTTCTTAATTTTTTTTTTTTCATTTTACTTTTTTATGTTTTAAGGTTTTTTTTTTTTTTCAATTTACTTCAAAAGTTAATTTATATTCAAAATTAGATAAAAATGATACATTAATAGTTAAGTGACGTAATTTTTATTTCACTCAAAAAATAAATTGATTTTTAATTTCTCAAAAGTTATAAATTATATGTTATATGCTAAACTAAACATATCAAAATAGTTTAAATTAAGCTGAAAGTTGAAATAAGCAGTTTTTAAGCTGCACCAAACAGGGCCTATGTTAGGTTATTTGCTCAGTTTAGTTCTTAATTTTTTTTTTTCATTTTACTTTTTTATGTTTTAAGGTTTTTTTTTTTTTTCAATTTACTTCAAAAGTTAATTTATATTCAAAATTAGATAAAAATGATACATTAATAGTTAAGTGACGTAAAATATTTTATTATGAGAGTGTTTGGAAAGTGACTATTTTTTAAAAAAAAAATTGGACTATTTTAACCTTCGTTTGTCAAAAGTTAAAATGAGTTTTTTTGGCTAAAATAATCACAAAAAGATAAAATAGAATTTTTAGTTTAATAAGATAAAATGTCAGATCTAAACTATAATTATTTTATTTTTTCTCTCACAAAAGTCAAAAAACTAAAAAGTTTATCCCAAATAAGATTTTTTAATCTCAAGTTAAAATAATCAAAAAATCAAAAAACCAACCCACATCTCAAATGAACCCTTAATAGGCTATTTTAATTTTTGGAGTGTTTTGGGAACTTGGCTAAAAATCAATTTGATTTTTAACTTATTTTGGATTATATCAACTCTCTATTTTTTACATGTTATTTAAAAAAAAAAATCAAAAAAATCAACTTTCCAAAATAAACCTTTGGGTGTGTTTGGTGTGTGTTTTGAAACATATTTTTTGAAGAAAATTTTCAAAAACATGTTTGGTTACAAATTTTCTAAAAAAAAATTCAAAATTACTTCTCTCTATCACACATCAATCAATCACTTTTCTCTATTCTATCTCATTCTCAATCACTTTTTCTCTCACACACATATACTCAATTACAGTTAGGGGTGTGCGCGGTGCGATTTTGGACTGTTGGAGAGTAAAATTACAAACCGAATGACAGGTTAGCAGATTAACGAATTGACAAATTATAGTTTCAGGGATTTTTGGCGGATTGGTGGATTGAATAATATTCTAACTAATTATCATACATTTACATGATATATAACACTAATTTGTCTAATATTTTTTAGATATATAATACAAAGTAATTTTACATAATGTATTTCATATATATAATTACTAATTGTAATAAATTTTATATCTTAAATCTCTCTCACACTTATTTTTACATAGATATTTCATTAGAAGTTAAAAAATATATATGTATTAACTATAGTAGAGCGGAGTGGTTCGGTTGACGGATTATAAATTTTAAAGTTTAAACTACGGTTAACGGTCAGAGCGGTGCAGATCGATAGGGATTGGTGCGATTTTAACGGATTGAGCGGTATTTTACACAACCCTAATTATAGCAAAATATCATATCATTCCAAACTCTCAAACTCTAAAATTATTTTTAAAATATACAATCAAATAAACTAAAAAAATTTCTTTTCAAAATTCTTTTTTAAAAATTTATCTCAAAATATAAACCAAACACACTCACAGTGTTCTTTGTGTTTTCGATGATAGATTGGCTTTTTGTTGAGTTTTTTGTATTAAGTAATCTATTTGAAATGATGTTGAGATGCCAAGTAATAAAATATCTCGACAAAATATCTCGACAAAAATAGTTGGAATTTCTAAACAAGGCCTACAAAAATAGGTCTGCAATGTCACTTTAACCCTCAAATTGACTGGATTAGCCTTTTTTTCTTTTTTTCGATTTAGGAGTTACCTTCACTCTTATACCCACTTCCCAAAAATTCATATTGGATTCAGCTTGTTTGAAGTTGAGATCAAAATTGAATCCGTTTAGTTTAATTTATAGGGCTCATTTTTAGGTCCGTTTTAATAATCCGAACCGTTAATGTGTAGAACTCGTCGAGTACTATATGTTTGTAAAAAATCACGTTGATCGGATATCAATAGCTATGTGATCAAATCAGTTTTGTATAAAAAAAAATAGACGGTGAAAAAATTAACGATTGATAAAAAACTGTTCTGTTCACATAGCTATCGATATTCGATCAATGTGATTTTTTACAGGGATATAGTACTCGATGAGTTCTACACATTAAACGGTTTAGATTATCAAAATGAGATCCGTGATGGGTCCCCACGGGCCCAACAACACGGTTCAGTCTGATCTTGGACTGGACCAAAGCCACTGCCATTCATATTATTACTAATACAAATTCAAATTTTAATATAATAAAATATTTTTAATATTATGACAGTGTTTGGAAAAGATTTTTTTTATTTTTTTTTTATTTTTTCACTAAAAAGACAAATTGATTATAAAACTAAAAAAATAAATCTAAACAAAATATCACATCAAATCCCATAATCATTTTACTTTTTCTCTCATAAACATCACATCCAATCACAATAAACCCAACTATCTTTCCAAACATAAAATTTTTTTTCTCCAATAATATTCTAAAATTAAAAATATCTATAAAAAAATTCACTTCCCAAAACCCACTACCCACTATGTAATAGCTAACGTAATATTTTTTTTACGTAATTTAGAATATAAATTAATTTTAAAAGTAAATTAAACAAAAAACATGAAACATAAAGGTTAAAATGACCCAAAAAAAAATAAAATTTAAAGCCAAAAAAAAAAAAATGATGCTTTAATTTAATCTTTTGGACGCGTGTCATTCGCAAGGGGCACGGTAGCTTTGTTTCGCTGACAGACATGTGACGTTATGGTTTGTTTGTTAGTTTACTTTTTAGCGTGAGGACGAAGGAGTTTGTTCTACTTTGACTGACTGGGTCTGGGTGTAATGACAATTGTTCTATGGGCCATCATTGATCGTCGGCCTTATTTTGAATCTATAGTAATGCGAATGTAATCAATCGTAAAATAATTTAATTGGTTCTAAAATTATAATTATATAATATTATTTTTTATTTTTAAAAAATAAACAATAAGTATAATTTTAAAATAGGTTGAGTATTTTATCAAAAATAAATATAATAATATATTATATGATTACAAATATCAGACGATCTTAATTTTTTTATATTATATATAAATAGGTTATCAATAGAGATTTTAAAAATTAACTGTTCATATAATCAAAATGTGATGCATGGATTGAAGTGAATAGTGTTGGGTATACCTCCTTATTGGAGTGTGGGACCCAATTGATTTATTAAAAGAGTTTTAATTTGGCTTGGTTTAGTATAATGTATTTTTATATATTATATTTGAGGAGACCCAATTCAATTTGGATATAATTAGGGTTTGATTACAAAACCCTAGATTCACAATTTTGTTGGTGTATTATTTTTCCCAAGAGAAAAAAAGGACAGAGGGCTGCCTCCTTATTTAGTTTTCCGAAGGCAGCAAATCGTGATGATGAATTTGGTTTTTCCCGAAGTTGAATGAAGCTACAGCAACATTGATGTACTTGGTTCCTTTCATTCTTGGGTGTATATTCAAGTTGGTGCATCTTTGTTTGGGAGCTTTGGTAAAGCTGGTTTGGGTTATTATTTTGGATCTTCTTCAACTTTGGTTCAGAAGATTTTGGTTCTTCTATTTGGTGAGGTCTTTCCTCTTTGTTTATTTGTGATTATTTGGAATTCACCTAAGGGTGTTTTGTGAGACCATTAGTGTCTCGTTTGTAATCGTTTGGAATTATTTGGTTGATAGTGGAATCGGATTTCGATCCCGTGGACGTACCTCACATTGAGGGAACCACGTAAAAATTCTTGTGTTGCCTTTGATTTAATTTTTCCGCATTAATTTTTATTCCCATTGATTGATTTACTTGTGGGGAATCACACATTTTCCCTAACAACTAGTATCAGAGCTTACGGTTTATTTTGGTCTATTTATTTGTGTAAATCAATGGAGGGGAATGTGGGTCGTATGTCTAGCTTCAATGGAAGCAATTGGGTAACTTGGAAAACTAAAATGGAGGACCTATTATTTTGTAAAGATTTATATGGACCCATTGAGGGTGATTCTGGCAAACCCGAGGGTATGAAAGATGATAAATGGAATAGGCTTAATCGAAAAGCCATTGGTGTTATCCGTCAATGGATTGATGACAGTGTGTTTCATCATGTTGCTACTGAAACTTCAGCACATGATTTATGGAAAAAATTAGAGGGTCTTTATGATAGGAAATCAGCCACAAATAAAGCTTTTCTGTTTCGTAAGTTGGTTAATTTAAAATATAAAGAGGGCAGCCCTATTCCGGAACATCTGAATGAAATAAAGAGTATTGTTAACCAACTTGCTTCTAAGAAAATTATTTTTGATGATGAGTTACAGGCTTTGATGCTACTAAGTTCTTTACCCGAAAGTTGGGAGACTTTGGTTGTGACAGTTAGTAATTCAGCGCCCGATGGAGTTGTCGTAGTAAAGCTCAAGTTGTTGCAAGTTCTTCAGCAACCCAAGCTCTGCCCGAATCTGACCCACAAGATAATTCCTGCTCAATTCAAGATCAATGAGCGAATGTCATTTTCCGATCGACGCTGGGATCAAACCGCGAACCATGCACGCCATCAGGACCATAGATTTGAGCTTTGTTAGCCTGGAAATATTCTCAGGCAATTGCCATACCTTGAAACCTTCATTTTCATTGAAGTTCAGAGCTTTGAGAATGGTAAGGTTGGTTACGGAAACAGGGAAATCGACGGAGAAGAGATTGTAGGAGAGGTCGAGTGACCGGAGAGCCACCATGGACGAAAAGTCCGGAGGTGTTCCAGTGAGGTAGGCAGAGCTCACGTTTAGTTCTCGCAAGAGAGAACAATTACTGATGCTTTGAGGAAAATTTCCATGGATGTTGTTGTAGCCGAGGTGAAGACACACGTAGCTCCGGGAGGTAAGAGCAGACGTGTTCAGGGAAGCGGCCAGAGAGCGATGACTCAGAGATATCGATCTTCGTGGCATAGCCTTGTTCATTGCATCTGATTCTGGCATAGCTGCAAAGGGGTTTTGGTTCGGAAACATCCCAATCCGACAAAGGGTTCCCTTTGAGAGAGTTTTTCATGAGAGTGAAGAACTGAGACTGGTTAGTTACGGTGGAATGGGAAGAGGTAAGTAAAGAAAGTAATAGCGAAAGGAGAAAGAAACTACAATGAAAAGCCATGGAAGGGAAAGACAGAGATATATAAAGAGAGAGCCAAAGGTCCCTTATTTGTAAGGATATTTTTAGATGGTTGTTAACGAATACAATCAGAGATGGAAATGAATTCAATTTTAGAAGTGTATTTTGTATGTTCCTCTGCAGTCAAACTTGGGTTTGAATTTGTGGCCCCCTCCCCCCCAAAAAAAAAACAATGTTACACACACAAAATTCATGCACAAAAATATATCATGAAAAAATATTATGTGGTTTAGATTCATTTTAAATACGAGTTATACTGTATCCGAATTAAATTTAAATTATACTTTATTTTCTTAGTATTTTTCTCTGCACGAATTCTGAACACATACCAACAATCCAAAGAGAGCCTACATGCATCTCTAGTATATGGTACTGATCCATCAATCATCATTAGAACATCATCATTAAAATTAGTCTAAGGATTTATAAAAAAAGGTCCCAGTTCATAGAGTGGGGATGGGGGGGCAGCTGGGAATTGAATCCCTGTCCCTGTGCTAGGTTGCAACCACTATGAAATTTAACCCACTTCAATCCACACCTATAACAAAACTCATGTCCACACCTACAAGTAATATGTGAACAACCCTCTGTCTTCTCCACATAAATTTCACACTCTGGGCACTTCCTCCAGCTCTTCTTCTTAGCAAGTTCCTCCACCAACATATTTTCTTTCCCTCTCTTCTTCCCACCCAGCCTCATAAACTCCTTGCACGTAAATTCTACATGCCATGGAACACGACACCGTGCACAGATTGATCTCTTGCAGGCAGGACAGTTGATCTCTTCTATGATCTCCCCGGAATCATTAACCAACATGGCTGAACAGTCCCTGAAAGGACAATAAATTATCTGGGACTTGGGAATCATTGACTTGCATAGGAACTCGTCCCACTGGACAATGACCTCTTTCGGGATGATCTGCCTGCAGGCATCGAAATCTAATGCTGCCTTGCAATCTTCCCCGGGGCATAAAACTGTTTTTATGTTTTCTTGGATCTTTGCTGCGATGTGTTTGCTCGTGCAGTCGTGACAGAAGGAGTGAGAACAGATTTGATTTCTGTACATCAGGATAGTTTGTTTGTTTTCTAAGCAGATTCTGCAGAAGCAGCTTTGGGATGA